AAAGACTTAATAACAACACCCTTCTAATAAGAACTACAGCCTTTTGAAGCAGGTGGTGCCCACCTCTGCCTACAGATTCCAGCCAAAACAATCTGCCCAGAATTACTGAGAAATCAGTAGAATGTGCTGATGACTCAGTCTGTAAGTAGGAGGGCTGTTATTGTTATTTAACTCCTGCCAGAGTATGGGGGCAATTCTCCCTCTTTCTGTCTCTTGTTAACTATGAGAGATCCCTCTTCAAAACCTCATCCTTGGAATAGGTTCTTGCTCAATAAGAGCCAGAGTAGCTTGAGGTCTGGATATGACTGCCAGCTGATAGTACAGAATAGAATAGGCTTTTATAATGGGAGCATCTGATACCCTAATTTACCAATAGAATTTATTTTTAGAACGCTTAATCTGCCTTTAAAATTCTTTGCAGAGTGCCACGGAGCGGAGCTGAATGCTGATCAAGTAGTAATCAGTGCAAGTCAAAGTACTTATTTTCAGAGAAGATGGTGAAAATACCAGGCTTTCTTTCTCATTTCCTTAAATGTTGGGGTATTGTGGTGCTACTGTTTGTTTTTCCCTTGCCAAATGTTCTCAAAATATAAACACTCATCAAGTGCTTCTTCTAGGAAGACTGTAAAAAATAAAACAAAATAAAACCCAGCCTATTTTACAGAAAATTGTCTTAAAAGATAAACTTTGCTCATCTATGAGTGATGAAAAGATAGAAATCTATTCTGAAGATAAAGTCTAACCTATGTTGAATGTGGCAAATCTTAGTATTATTATTTAGTTTAAAAGACTGCAAGGAATAATAAATATTTTCTGCTCTTCACCTGGCTTTCTCATCCAGCTAATTTGTTCCTGATTTGTCTATGTGCATTTTTTCTTCTTCTGGCATTATACATTATGGCTTGATATTATAAATCAGCTAGATAAAGTTTCTCATAATGCTATAAAATCATGAGTCCAAAACATGAAAGTGCTTTAGCATTGCAGACATGATGGCGTCTGTTGAAACAAACCAAAGGAATCCTTAAAAGGGCAACGACTATTACTGTTGTGCATTAAGTGTATTCTGTGTGCACAGCATCTACCTGCATTGTTCTATGGTAACTCTTGCATAGCTAGTCATCCCTTTAGCAAGTGAGGGCCCATCCACCAAGATAGGTGGTAGTTCTAGGGGCTAGTGATACAGCCCTGAACATCACAGTCTCTGCCCTCCACAAGAGGAGATCATGTTGAGATGATGTCAGGAAGGTAGAAGATGCGAGTATATGTAGCATCTTATTGGCCATTGCAGGAATATGGGCTATACTACAGGCAGCCATTGGTGGATTCTGAATAGGAGAGTCATATCAACTGATTAAGATGTTTTTAAAAGATCATTCTGACTTCCATGTGAACAACAGACTATAGGAAAACAAGACTGAGCACAGGGGGTTATGATAGTAGTAAAAATGAGAGACAGTGGATATGAATGATATAGATAGAGATGATAAGACATGATAAGATCCTGGACAGGCATGAGCCTGGTACTGTACTTATCTACTATGAAGCTTAAAGAGATTAAATTATGCCTTTAAAAGGTGGTGCATGCTGGAAACAAACTTTCAGAGTTGCTCACCACTGCACTCTAATATTTAAGGGAGTTTTGGTGTGAAAACTATGTGAATTCTTTTTTTTTTTTTTTTTTTTTTTTTTTAGATGGAGTCTTACTCTGTCACCCAGGCTGGAGTCCAGTGGTGTGATCTCGGCTCACTGCAACCTCCACCTCTGGGGTTCAAGCAATTCTCCTGCCTCAGCCTCCTGAGTAGCTGGGATTACAGGCACGCGCTACCACACCTGCTTAATTTTTGTATTTTTAGTAGAGATGAGATTTTACCATGTTGGTCAGGCTGGTCTTGAATTCCTGACCTCATGACCCACCCACCTCAGCCTCCCAAAGTTCTGGTATTACAGGCGTGAGCCACCATGCCCGGCAGAAAAATATGTGAATTCTATATAAATTAGTAAGACTCAAAGTTCAACCACATTTAGAAGGACATGTGCTAGGACAGAAGTATTAAACTCTAAATTCACGGAATATGAGAATTAGTAATATTAGCAAATGACTGCAAAGATTTTTTCATTTGCAAAACATTTTCACTCCCATTATCCTGTGCAGTTTAATTGAATTGGCATGGCTAGGTAATTTCAAAGATAATCATCTGGTAAACAGTGTAATGATATCACAACAAAATAAAAATGTCTAATTAAATGGTCACATTTAGTGGCATCACTAAATGAATCTTCATGGTTTTCAATAGCCTGTTTTCTCATTTTAAGTATTGTGTCTTCCTTGCTTTCCTAACATTGGCCCTCTACTCATATAAAAGGATTCCAATAAATATTAGTGGCATAAATAAAATTTCTAATTATGTGATGAACAGATTAGGTTTTTCCAATTTATTTTCTAGTAGGCAGAATAGCTTCAGGGCCTCAAAGAGATGAGCTTGAATCCAGGCTCTGCAATCATTATATGATCTTGAGTAAGTTACCTGAGGTATTTGGGCCTTATTTTCCTCCTGTGCAAAATGGTAATGCATTTTTGACCTAAGATACTTATATAAAATCTCATATTTACTCATATTTGCCCAGAAAGGTTAGTTTTCTCTTCCTCTTTCTTCCCCAACTCTGACAAAATAATTTATTTCCCTCAGAAAATAAAAGTTGGGAAATAATCTATGTCTAACTATTTCACTACCATATACTGCCATTTCTTTTACTTTAAACAAATTCTAAAATTGGCTAAAGTGTTAGAAAACATTTTGAAAAAAAAATCTTCTGTTTTAACGTCTTCAATTATTTTCTAGGAGAATATGAGCAACTCCTGGGCCAAACAAAGGTATTTGACTTTTAAATTATCTTCACAGACCAAACAAAGGTATTTTACTTTTAAGTTATCTTCATGGGCCAAACAACGGTATTTGACTTTTAAGTATCTTAAATTCCAAAAGTAGTAATTTATACTATATTTGGGAATAGTAAGTATTTCATGTACAAGGAGATTCTAACTATTGTATTATAGCAAAAAAGTGAAAATCATGAGTCTCATTAAATTAGTAAGATCTTTACAAGCCAAATTAAAAAAAATGTTTTTCTAGTTGAAAAACATAAAACAAGCAGGATTAGTATGATATTATATGTTAAAAACTTGCAATTCCTTATATATAAATCCAAAATAAGGTTTGCAAGCTATGCTTAAACCATTTTAACATTAAACCTTTAAAATGCTGAAAGTCATTTAGAAATAGTAATTATAATACTAAGCATCAGAAGATTAAAACATTAAAATGAGTCAACTTTATAACCAAAGGTGTCAACCTGATCTTCATCTCTCGATATGAAAGAATCTCTACATATAATGTTGGGTGAAGATGAGCTGCAAAAGAATATTGACAGTGTGATGCCCTTTAAGTAAACTTTTAAAAGGTTAATAATTGTTTGACATTTGTTTCTTACACGTGTCATAGCACTGTTAGAACACACACAGAAAGGTTATGTCATCTTTAGGGTTTTGACATCTCTGAAAGAATGGAAGAAACTAAAAAAAAAGCAGGAAGAGCTTTGCTGCTGTCTGTGATGGTTTATTTCTTTAGATAAGATTTTAATAGAGCTGAATGTTAGCACTTGTTTAATCTGTGTGATAGATACTTAGGGTTTGCTATCTTTTTTTTTTTTTGAAACAGAGTCTCACACTGTCACCTAGGCTGGAGTGCAATGGTACGATCTCAGCTCACTGCAACCTCCGCCTCCCAGTTTCAAGCGATTCTCCTGACTCAGCCTCCCAAGTAGCTGGGATTACAGGCACCCACCACCACATCTGGCCAAGTTTTTGTACTTTTAGTAGAGATGGAGTTTCACTATGTTGGCCAGGCTGGTCTCAAACTCCTGACCTCGTGATCTGCCTGCCTCGGCCTCCCAAAATGCTGGGATTATAGGTGTGAGCCACTGTACCTGACCTATAATTACTTTATATTTTGCTTTAAACATCTTATAAATTTTCTTGCTTAAAAACAAAATAAATAATAACAGCAAGAAAGTAAATCTGGCTGTGGTCAATTTAAGATTGCATATTCAGTACTTCTAATAAAAAAACTAAATTAAAATATATTTCCTAGAATAAGAAATCATTCACTTATAATCTTTCCATAATTGTATTACGCTTTTTCATAGGAATTTGGGTTTAAAGAAAGATGCAAAATAAAGAAAAATATTGTTTCTGCTTGTAGAGCTAACGTGTATATATTCTTTTACTTACTCATGCAAAAATTTTGTAAGTAACAAATGCAAACATAAAATATAAGTTTACCTGCTATGCATTTACAGCTCGTTCAGTAAATGCACTGTATTATTTTTATTCCATTAATTTGGATAAAAACTACTCAAAAGGTAGGAGAGTCTGACTGCTAGACATTTCTACCACAACATGAAACTGCTTTCCTAACAACCGCTAGGGCTGGTGTTCTTTCCAGTGCCTGCTTCCAGAGCCATGTATTCCGTCTGAGGTGAATCCCTGCATCCTCCTCCTCTCTCTCTGCCTCATGCCTGTAAACTATAAAATGGGGATGATCCCCATATCTACCTCATAGAGCTGTTTAAGAAATAAATGAATTTATTTATGCGAATTAAGTCACGTAGGGCCATGCCTGGATGTGATAGGTGCTGAGGAAATACCATTGGCATTGTTAACCACAGCAGGAGAGACAGGCTGAGTTCAATCCTGATTCAGAGGAAGACCTTGCCATTCTCTTACTATTAAGTCAACTCAAAACTGTGAAGGGCTGTTTTAATAATACTAAACTTATTAGCTATAACTATTAAAACATTAGAAATAACTATAAGTTATTTCTCCATTGCTAAAATGAATTGTTACTTATTTAAAGATTTAAAACAACGAAAGGTTAGCAAAGAGTTATTTTTTACAATTGTGGGTAATTTTTCTCAGAGTAGAGAGAGTAGGGTCTTACCTATTCAAGGAAGTGGTAAAATACAAAGTTCGTTATGTCGTGTTCTCAAAGGGTTGATAATATTTTCTAGCTTCTTTCTGTTAAAAAAATAGAAAATTAATAATTTAATCCCTGATCCATGTACATTAATGACATCAAGTAGCTCAGCAATAAATTTCATCTTGTGGCTTTCTTTTTTTGTATTTGGCAACTATGAGACTATGAGATGGATATCCTCATGGTTCTTTATAGTGACCATACACTGAGCTTTTGCCAATGGCTAGGCACCATGGCAGATAGATTGGAGCAGTGAAAATGCTAACTGCTGCATGCTTTTTCTCACTTTTAGATTCACTCCAGTGGCATTTTACAGGTATTACATCCAAGGAAGAATAAATTTTTAAATTGTCTTCAGCTAATAAATAGCAGGCAATCATATTTTCTCCCAAGAGAATACATTCATTCTAATAAATTATTAATTATATCCAGTAATCTTAAAAGTACTGGGCCTCTAGCCCAAGCTGCATTGATTCTCTCCAGCACAGGATGGAGAATAATTTTTTAACAACTCATTAAATTTTCTCCATGGAGTACTATACTGATTTTGACATTCAGAATACTAAAAGTCATTTTAGATTAGTAGTTCTGTTTAGGAACTCCACTTAAAACAATACAGAATACTTCTTACTGGAGTGGTACGTAGAAATAAGTAGAGTTACTAGAAAGCACTAGGCTTGTGTTCTACTTCATAAGCCATTCAGGTGTAACCATCTTCATCTACAAGGAGGACTACAAAGGATGCACAATACATAAGGGATTGCAGAGCTGAGGCCTATTTTAAAGTCCAGCTCTCTTACACTAAGTGTCTAAATCTATGTATCTCCATACATTTTGTCAGGACCTGTGTGATTTTACTCCTAGTAGGGTGATCCCCATCATATCCTCAAGGAAGATGTTGCTCTACAGGTAAGGAACCCAGACTCAAACTCTGATAGCTATGAACTCTTCTTTAAGACACAGTAGGAAATGCAAATTGGAAAGACAAGATGCAGATGGCTTAATTCTTCTCTATGAGCCTCTAAAGACTCATAGAGAAGTGTATATGGATATGAGCAGACACAAGTTTGATTCAAAAGCAGAAAATATGGTCTGGGACAGATGCTGTGTATTAAGCGCTTTTACACGTGTTAGCTCATTTAATCTGGGAGCATTTACATACAATGTGCAGTAGCAAACAAGTCCTATTAGTACATATTAAAGTTAGAAAGGCTTAACATTTAAATAAACATTTATAAAAATGTCAGCAGGCAAGAAAAAACATGGTAGAATTCTCCATTCCCTGTAATAATTTGAATAACTATTTTAAAAACAAAGATTTGACCGTCTAATTCTTTGCACACACCTTCTTTTTTTCTTTAGTCCAGCTCAGTGGTTCTCACATTTGGAAGATATAAAACAATATAGTACAGAGTTCTATACACGATAACTTAAGACTATTTAGAGAATTTTTAAGGATAGTTTTGATGATAAGTAAATTAAACCTTCTAGGTTGGTTTTAGAACTAAAGTAAAATGGTAGGCCAGCTCTGGAGCTTATTCAGATAGAAAGAGACTTTGCGTACTTAACAAATGAATGCTGGATAAAATACCATGTTTTATTTTCTCTTGAAATTACATATTTTTCTTAAATTTCTTTAAGTGCCTGTTTTTTTTGTACTTCATCTTCATGATTTTTAAGTAAGCACACATGCAATGGATAAGTGAGTACACATTCTATGTGTATGTCTTTTACCCTAGCAAAAATAAGAAAAAAAATGAATTTTATAAAATATGAATCAGTAAACTATGGTCCATGGGCCAGAACCATCCTGCTGCTGACTGCTTTTCTATATACAGTGCTATTGGCATATAGCCACTCCCACGCACTTCTGTGTTGTATATGGCTGCTTTCATGCCATAATGCCAGAGTTGAATGGTTTTGACAGACTATATGGCATACAAAGCTCAAAATATTTACTATCTGGACATTTACAGAAAACATTTAACTTATCTGACATCAAAGAGCATGCTCATTATTTGAGTAATATTAAAAACACCACTAAAAAATCCTGTCTTTTAGTCTTTCCAAAAACTAACTCAGTAGTTATATATGAATGAAAGTGAAATTCTAACCCTAAACATTTAAAAGCTCATTTCATCCCAAAAGAACTGGGAAATTCCCGGCCAAAGGATGAGATGATTACTAAAAAATTCAGGGCACTCAGTGCCTATCAGCCATAAAAAGAATGCCCAATTTTCACATAATCTTGACTTTTATGAGGTTTTATTATAAAAAATAGAAATAACTATATTTTTCTAGACTTTATGAGAAAGAGATAAATGCTATCTGGAATTTATTTTTAAAGAGCAACTTATGGCCTATTCCACGAGGCATATAAAATTTTAAATTAACATAGGATAGTCAGAAGTAATCATTTTTACTCATATAAATAGCATTAAATTACTTTAACATTAATTTTTGTTACATTGATGGCACAGTTTTAGCATCACATTATATAGAGTAGCTGCAACATGCCTAAAATAATATTAGCAAACATTTATACAGAATTTATTTTATGCCAGACAATGATCCAAGCACTTCATATGTATTAAGTCGTTCCTCACTACCATCCTCTATTATCGTCCCCATTTCACCAATGAGAAAACAGGCCAAGAGAGCTTAAGTGTCCTTCCCAGCATCACCAAGCTAGAAAGTGCCCAAGTCTTTTAGCTACATACCAACTCCACAAACACTGAGAATTGGTTTTCGTTCTTTGACTCTGGTTAGGGATAATTTTGAGCATAAGGGCTTGTGGCTTCTCTGAGGAGTGATATTTCAGTGATGGCAACTTTCAATTTACTAGAAATACCTACAAAGTACTTTTATTATTCAGCATATTCAGCTTCTTGAACAAATTGTAATATACTCAGCCACAGTTCTGCCTCCCATTTTATCATTTCATCATTTCTACCAGGTTTACCACCTGGTAGATGCCACCTTCCAGAACATTTTAGAGCCAAATATGAACACTGTTGAGAATCATGACTTAACAACACGTGACAAAGTCAACTGGTTAACAATTATATTTAAGAGTCAGCCTACATAAGGGAGAGAATAGAATGTACACTGCACATTGGTATCACAAAGTAAGCTGAATAAATCATTTAATAAGGAACCCAAAGTACTTGTTCAGCTACAATAAGTCACCTTTTATCAGCTGGTTACTCTGTAAAATAGGATATGCATGCAATGTGCTTAGGCTGCATATATGTTTGGCTATTGGCATATTTATGTCCAAGTTATTTACTACCTGCAGCATTGAAGTTAGAATGATAAATTCATGCAGATTTTCAGAGTCTCCTGGAGAAAATATTGCCGTGGTGTGGTTTTCTCAACTGATGTAAGAGCTCATGTTTTATTAAACAACAAAGTCAACAAGATAAAATCTTCCTGGATTGTTGAGCCAGGGTATACTCTTTATTTTCCTTTGAAACACATTCTCCCATAAGTATCATTTAGTTTTTAAATCTCATGTTTGATAGACTTTGCTAGATAAGCAAAACATTGACTGGGTGCCGAGGCAGGTGGATCACCTGAGATCAGAAATTCAAGACCAGCCTGGCCAACATGGCAAATCCCCATCTCTATTAAAAATACAAAAATTAGCTGGGCATGATGGTACATGCCTGTAGTCTCAGCTACTCAGGAAGCTGAGGCAGGAGAATCTTTGAATCTGGGAGGCCGAGGTTGCAGTGAACTAAGATTGCACCATTGCACTCCAGCCTGGGTGACAAAGCAAGACTATCTCTCTCCCCTCCAAAAAAATTATTGAAATGCCTGAAGTTGATGGCATCCTGAATACCCTCCCTCCCTCCCTCCCTCCCTCCCTCCCTCCCTCCCTCCCTCTCTCTCTCTCTCTTTTCTTTCTCTCTTTTCCCTCCCTCCCTTCCTCCCTCCCTCCCTTCCTACCTTCCTTCCTTTTTCTTTCTCTTTCTTTCTTTTGAGGCAGAGTTTCACTCTTATTGCCCAGGCTGCCAGGCTGGAGTGCAATGGCATGATCTCAGCTCACTGCAACCTCCGCCTCCCGGGTTCAAGTGATTCTCATGCCTCAGCTCCCTGAGTACCTGGGATTACAGGCATGTACCACAAATCCCAGCTAATTTTTGTATTTCTAATAGAGATGGGGTTTTACCATGTTAGTCAGCCTGGTCTTGAACTCCTGACCTCAGGTGATACATCCGCCTTGGCCTCCCAAGGTGCTGGGATTATAGGCATGAGCCACTATGCCTGGCTTGGAATAGTGTTTCTAAAGGCTAAACTTAATCTCAATGACTAGCATTAGGTTGTTCAGTCAATTCTCAAATAAACAATAATAGCATTGTACTCCACCTCCACTATCAATCTGATCTACCAAGATTTTGAGCAATTCATGTAATTTAGTGCACTTGTCCAGGATAACAAGATTTTAGCTACAGAAGACTGAATTTCCAAAACAATTGGGAAAATATCCATTATCCAAGCAGTCTTTTAAATAGGAGAGCAGATGCCAACATAAAATCATTTAGTCTAACATGCTACTAAACCATTTCTATTCCCTAATGTGCTTGTTAATAGAATGTTATCTACTTGTTTGTGAGTAGAAAGAAGCCATGGTGTACCAAAGGCAGTGACAGTTGAATACATCAGAGAAATAATCTTTCTTTCATGGAGCTTTAGTCAAAGTTCCTTTTAAGAGAAACTTATGTTTCTTGCAAAGGAAACTTATTTCAAAATATAACTTGAAAGAATTAAGAGCTGTTAGCAAATCCCTATTCAAACAACATATGGTCTTTAGTGGAGCAGAGAACTTGGGTGAGGTAGACAGTAAGAATGATCTCCTTTCTTGTCTAAATCCAGTAGCTCCAGGCTACTGCTGGGAGGACTAACAGGCTGGGTTAAGCTGATTTAGTAGAAAAGATCTAGCCTTGTCTGAAGCATCTCAACATAATTCAAGGCAGTAAAAATAGTATATAAGTAGGTGAAGGATAAACAATTAGATTAGTTAGAAAAGTAAGGCTTA